CCCGCCTTGGCACACAACATCCTTGGACAAACACAAAATAAACCTCTATCAATATCATCACCGCCATCAGTTTAGCTCCTCCTGATTGCCAACAAATAGCCTCTGTACAGCCCTGCACTTGTAGTCTGCGCATACAGCCTGTGCTGTGTGTTTCCCCCTCTTTATCCCCTCACAACTGCAATGAGTAAGCCAGCAGGAATTTATACCTTATATACTTAAAGGGGCAGACTCATTCCACCCAACTTAACATACATGCCTTACTCCAAAGTATCAATAAATCCAGCTCTTAGCCAGCATAAACAGAGCATAATTTCTGCTCAGTTCGATCCCTCCGCAACTAATCTTGACAACAAGAAGTATGAGCTATGTGGTAGCTCCGGAAATCAATTTACAAAAGCCTCAGAGGGAAAAGGAGGATTTGCATTCTGTTTTCTCTCTGATTAATTTATACTTTCTTGTCAATAACCTTTTGATTAAATTAATTAGCACAGAGAGGCAGAAAAACAACAAACAGTGAACACAGAAGTAAAGAAAAATGTCTGTTAACCACTAGCTGGGTGTAACTCTGCTGTTTTAAAAGATAAACCTTGAGATGTTGTGCAGTTTTCTTACTGCTAGTACATCTCAAGTAAAACCAAAACCAAAATAAGAATTTGTTGTAGTACTGTCCGTGTAGAAAAGCCTGACACAGCTTATTCCTGAGTGATAAAGTGTCCAAAATGAGCCACACCACTGCACCAGGTTTCTTCATTATGACGAACACTGTTTGCTAAAACCTGCAGTGTCCAGCCTTAAAAGAAAAAGACTTGATTATTACTTCTTTATTTCACTATTTATTTGGGATCCACATTCAAAGATTCACATCTTCAGCAGGAAGGAACCAATAGACATGGGGCTAAGTGCCACAGAAAGTTGAGGGAAATCAGAAAGCACGGAAGGGCATATTGCTGGTTTCGGTTCTTTCGTTGGATTTGTTGACAATAACAAAAAAAAAACTGAGTATTGCCCTTATCCTTCTCAACTCTATCAAAAGATATGAAACTGTTGAACTTGCAAAAAAAAAAAAACAATAGAAAGAAAAAAAGCTTTCGTTTGTCCGTATGAACCTGCTTACCCCACATTCTCTAAGAGAAACTGTTTTCCCTGCTGTGAAGTGGCCTTAGGTCAGAGCACTCAGACCAGAGATATCAAGTGGGTCTCTGGCAAGGAGGGAGTAAACATATTATCAAATGCAAAAGTCTCTCAGGCCAGTGGAGAGCTCTCCCAACTGCCAGGCCTCCAAAATGTTTTCGCTCTGCTGCGTTTCTCCTGGGTTCAGTACAAGGACACACAGTGCACAGACTGTCTGTGGCATAACAGGACAGCAGGTCTCCTTATGTCAGATTTCACCTTACACCACACAGCTCAGACGCTAAAATGCAAACTGACACTGCACCACTTTTAGCCGAGTGCACCTCAGCTTTGCTTTCTCAAAAAGCAAAAGCAGCTTCAGTATGTGGACATTTTGATACATTAAACATTCACAAGCAGATGTGACTTCTGACATTTGTCTATCAATATCAAAATACAACACTGAGGACACGATGTTCCTTGAAATCAGACAGCGCACTGTAAGATAATATTCTATCATATAAAGGAGTTATGTGAGCTATGCGGGGACCGGCGAGTGTGAGTGTGTGCCTCCCTGTGGAACTATGAAGACTAACCTGCCCTGAGACTGGGCATGGGCACAGCAGCGTGCTTTCCTGCTCGTCTGCCTAATTTTAAAAGCCTCTTGTCTATCCGGCTTTGGCTCTGCTTCAGGGGCAGAAGGGAGGCCTGTCTGCAGCAAACACAGAGACCTGAGGAGGCTATTTGAAGCGGGCCAGACAGTTTTTAGTCACGGGATCCCCCAAAACTCAAAGCAAACAGCGTGCAGTGTCAAAGGATCCAGGGCCTGGCCAAACAAGCTGTTTGGCTGTGACCACTGCAGTGATGAGAGAATGTCTCCCGACAAGTAAACAGCGGAGAAATATCTGACAGCCAGAGCTGTTAACAGCCCCTGATAAGCCCTGCAGAAAAGAGTGAGGTGAAAATAGAGGAGGAAACACCACCAGAACAACTGACAAGGACAATCAGAGATGAGATCCAGGATGAGGCTAAGCAAAGTGGAGAACGCTGGCGAGGAAGAAATGGACAGACAGCGTGTACGAGGAGGGGAAAGCAGAAGCAGCAGCAGCAGCGGGGAAGGCAGGGAGGATTTACGAGAAAGCATGGGGGGTTGGAAAAGAAGGAGGAGGAGGAGGAGGAGGAGGGATAAAAAACAAGGGGAGTGACGGGCATTTTTCAACCCTTCGAGCACTGAGCTTTAGCAAGAGCTTGCCGTTGAGCTTGTATACTTGACATTTGTCTGACATTTCCCCTCAGTGCTCCTCCTCCTGCGTATGGCTCCTCAGTTGGGGCCTCTCCACGCATCGCTGCCCGCCACTAAAAAGCACCCAGAACCAATCTGCACATCCCAACACGGTCACTCCCACTCGCTTCTATCCGGCCACAAGTACAGCATTAACCTGGCTTGTTCTTCCCAGCGTTATATTTACATTCACCTCTCATCTAATACTCCCCAAACTGTTGTGTGGAACAGCATCTGGTAGGTGGACAAACATGTGGAAAGAGGAGTTTTGTTGTTGCCTTGTGAAGCACCAGAAGGCCCAGAGGCTAAAGTAGTGTGCAAGGCAGACAGCACTCCCTCCTCATGTAGTGTAATTAAAGAGGAGACCGGGCCGTATTGACTACAAAACCACTGAATGCCCTTGAAGGAACATCTGTACTGGAGAAAAACAAGACAATTATGCAGAGGGGTGGAGGGAGGAGAGAGGAATCTTAAGCAGGAAGGAGAGAGGTAGACGCATCAAGCCTTTAAAAAGACAGGGTGAGAAATGTTATCTGTGCGTGAAGCCGGGAATATCAACAGATCTGCTCGAGCTTCATTCTGTCCTATTATTGCTTCAGTAACTCCTCCTTTTTTTCCCACTGTGTAGCGCCCTGGAGCCTTTATCTGCAGCCTTGAGACCTCAGGGCCCTCTAGATGAATGCATTTACCCTGACCTCGGCCTGGGCCTCACAGGGAAGTGAACCACTTCAAACAATACTCCTGCTCTGCCTCTCGAGCCCGACATGTGAGAACAACAGAGGATTTCACCGCAAACGCTATACAGCAGCAGACATGACTTGAAAATGTAGCATTTTGTAAATAAACCAAATACAGGAAACGTTTCTTTTGTCTTTTAAACAAAACATTTTTTTAAAATTCACATAGACAACTGATCAGGGAATCAATAACAGCTTGAAGGGAGCTCTGGCAGGTCAGTGCATACGAGGATAAACAGAGGCACAACAATAAACACCATAGCTTTTCTATAGACACAGACGTGGTCACCAGGGAAAAGACGCAAGCTTGATTTCCACTATTTGTTCTGAGGGTCCCCGGGGGTGAAGGAGGGTGGTGTTTGAGACTCCCAACTGACCATGGGAGCTGTACACAGGTCTTCAATAGAAAAAGGGCTGGAGGAACATTTTCCCACCATTATATCACACAGATGAGAGGACAGGGAAAATGGCACGGAGCGGAAGTCTGACACAAGTTTTCTATAGCAGAACAAAAGTCAAGTTTTTCCCAAGGAAAAAATACAATAATATATCTTTGAATTAACCAAGTTATGGCACACTGTGGATATTTTGAGACACATACTGAAATTAAAGCACCATTAATGTATCTTAATTCTTTTTAACACGTTACGTGACATCAAGAGTTTTTGTATTTTAAGATATGTCCATAGTCTTCTCTGAATATTTGTGATTAGCATTTCAGCTGTCGTGATAGGCCATTGTGTTATTCTGACGTGCAGTCTGTGAAGGAATTTGAACCTCTAATAAAAGCAGTCTCTGCAAACCCTCTGCACCCTCTGTGAAATGCTAAAAAATAAAGCACAGTTTGGCCTAAGGAAACAACCAGGAGCCTGATATCTTTAAAAACGACGGCACGAAAAGCGACACAGGCACGAAACATGATATTACTAAAATAGTTGGATTTCACATCAGAACGAAGGGGAGCGTTTCATCAACAGCTCAGCTGAGTCTGTGTGTGTCAAACAGGCTGCAGGAGCATATCACAAAGGCTTGAACTGCCTTCTACAGTAGTTTTGAAGAGGCATGAGACGGCTGATCTGGTTGTCCCAATTTCTAATCAAAAAGCACAAGCTGTCTCTTACTCTGACATCTGAGAGAGAAAGAGCGGTGAATGTATGCAATGTCGCTACAAGCTGCTACACTCGTCTCGAGAACTGTGACTGAGACAAACTGAACACAAACACACAACTGAGTTTATTAAAACCTGCAGACTGAAATGGATTTAAATTTAACTATATACATAGATGATATGACCCTCCTCTGAACTGTTTTTAAAAATGCATGACCCTACTGCGCGGGCTGAAGTTAAACAAGGATGACCCTCCCACAAATTCTTCAATATACCCCTTTTCATAAATTGCAAAAAGTCCCTAAGGCAAATATTTAACTGACATGGTCCAGACAGGTAGACTAGCTCATTTCTTGGCAGAGCAACTTTAACCTCAACTGAGTATGCCTTTCTAATACCTGCTGCTCTATATTGCAGCCATCCTTCACTCCACAAATAGCCTGATCTAAAGACAAGGTCTCTGTAATGAACAGAGAGGAAATGTTTGCACTGGCCCGTGGACAATCCTGCAGCCTGACGGAAATGAAGGAAAAACACTGCATAGATTCATGGGATTTGTTCGCCGGTGAAAAAACGCACAATTTCGGAATGTTTACAAGACTGGAAACCACCTACGCGGATCAAAGTCACATCTGCATTTACTGTACTTGCGGCACAAAGTGGCACACATTCCCGTTATCGTTTCGCAAACATCACATTTAAAGCTAGTTTGTTTTTTCCGGACATTATCTGCTGGAATAAAGACTGAAATGAAGAACCATACCTTTCTGGCATTGGTTGGAGGTCCAGCAGCGATAGTCGTAGTTGTCATTGAACGACGTCCTCTGACAGAGAGGATTATCCTCCATGATGCCTGGGCAAACATTGTCACATTCCTTTGCCTTCTTATTCCCATTGATAACGTTGTTGAACTCAGCATCCATAATAAGCGACCAGTCCACCGAGTCCAGGTAGCAGAGCTCGGGGTTCTTTTCAATCCGCATGGCTCCCCGGGTGATGTTCCTCAGATTGTACAGGCCGATGTCCTTCAGGCTGGTCATCTCGTAGATCACCAGGGCGTAGTTGTAGAAGAGATTGCGCCCGCGGATGACACTGAGGTTGGGGAAGAGCATGCTGAGGCTGTCAAGGCCTGAGACGCGAAACAGCAGCAGGTAGTCGGTGATGACGGTCAGCTTTGGGAAGCTGAGGGAGCGGAAGACCTCCTGGTTGATGTTGTTGGTCTTGTCGTTGATAAGGAGGATCTGCAGGTAGCCCTCGACCACCGTGCAGTTCTCCAGACGCTTGAACTCGCTGATCTCATTTCGAATGTCAATGCTTGGGCCACAGACTGAAAGACACAGAGAGACAGCACATGAGGGTGCGCCCTTATTTTCCAAACCAAGAAACATGTCATCAAAACAAACGTACAATAGGGAGTATGACACATATTCCTTTGTATCAGAATGTAACAGAAGCATTTGGTTGGCAATACAGCAGTGCTATGTATAGATTAGCATGTAGATTACTTTTGCCAAAAGATTTTAATTATAATAATCTCCTTGAAGCATATAATCCTGTTAGTCAAGATGGTAAAGCTGGTACTTTGCTGGCAACATGTCACACATACAAATAACACAGAGCTCTGAAAAAGAATGTGTGCCGTGCCAGAAGGACATCATGTTTCTATCTGCATCGCTGAAAAGAAGTTCATGTTCTCTCAGGGTGGCATTTTTAATCGAAACAAGGAGAGATGTTATCGTCGAGGTCGGACATTTTTATCATAGGGGTGACTTTTCATTTAGTTTCACAATAAGCCTCACAAGTTTACATACTGATACTTCTGTATTCATATCAGATGCAAACATTTTCCTGTAAAATCTTGTGTCTGTCACCTCAGATAACCCCGGCGTTTGAATAAGCCATTCCTCTGTGCTCGGAAAACAACACTTGAAACCGGTGCCTGGAGCGTTCTCCAACTCCACACACACACACACACGCACACACACACACACACGCACACACACACACACACACGCACACACACACACACACACACACACACACACACACACACTAACAACAAAGACACCATTTATTATTGATGACAATCAACTCTCCCTCTAATCGTGCCTATCAATTACTACACCTGGGAATTAATGGCAGATGATATTCTCATAATGTTATTGTGTTCTAATGCAGCAGTTCCATTACCTTGTCTGTCTGATGCACCTTCACAGCCCTGCCAAATGAAATGAGCTCCAGCACCCCTTTATGACACCACCTGTCATTTTCTTATTGTGTTTTTGTGAAGTTATTGAGACTGTAGCTGATGTTACACAATTAATGACATAAAGTGGATATCATAAAGAGAAATAATAATAATTTAATTGCAATTAAAATGTCAATGTTTAGGTTGTTTGATTAAGTTTGCATCTGTACCACTTGGAGTGGTAAAACTTTGAAGTTTTAACTATTTATCTATTACTTTTAGCTAACTTTATTAACCCTTAATCCACTGTTTTTTTTTTTAGCTATTTCAACAATTTACTCTTTTACTTTTAGCTAACTATTACTTATTGATGTAATCATGACATCATCATGTAGGCAAATGGGCAGTGCAATAGTAAACATCCCTGAGAATTATTAGGATTCATCCATTGTGCGGGGAATGGCACCTGGAAAACCAGTTTTAAACAAACTCACTATAACTTTGCTGATCCAGGGGTAATTTTCAAATATAAATTTGTGTTTGCACAAAACCTAGCTGAGCTAAAACCTACATGGCTGTCTGCATGTATCTGTTCTTATTTAAGGCTGGGCGATATGCCCTGAAAATTCTATCTCCATATTTACATAACAATATTTCTGACCAAATACCCTCTCTGATGCAAAAAAAAGTTGTATGGATGACTATTGTTTTATTTATTTTATTAACATAAAAATATTAACACAATGAGATTTTAGATTAATAATCATTAACAATGTGAATATAACATCTAAGTGGGTTAAGGCAAGTGTTAAAACAAATAAAAGATCTGATAAGTTGATAAATTTGCATCACTTTACTATATTTCAGCCTTTAAACAGAGAAAAAACACCATTTATGCCATATCATAATACGATATCCAAAATATAAGATGATACATAGTCTTGAATCTCAGTAACAATATAATATCTTTATATTGCCCAACAGTATTCTAGTTAGCATAGTTTTCACATCATTCATGCCAGTTCTGGTCTGTAAGGACCACCAAAGCATGGGTGCGTCCATTGGCTCATTTGTAACTGCATAGATTTGCTAGCCCAGCTTGATTAATTAACTTGTATATATGTACTATTGTATACATAAAACTTGTATGCCTGCTTTTCATCATTAAAACATACGAATATAATAAGACTGTGTTGCTATAGTGTAGATTTGTTTAATGCCATTTTTTAGCCGTGTTACAACCATAACTCACACTGTCATAATTAATACTCACATGCACTTAATTTGTAATATCAGACAGCGTCCCATTTCCTATTTTTTTAATTCCTTTATGATGCATTTTCTCTATCAAAAAACGTATGATAGCAGACACATGAAGGTCGTGTGCCTGAGAATATCACACATGTAGGTAAAAGTATCTCTGAGTAAAAGAGTGGAAAGTGAAAAATGTTACAATTTCGGCAACTCTCCCCAACTTTTAGCGCACTATTTCAACCATTTATCCATTATGTTTAGCTAACTAGGCTTTTAACAATTTATCCGGTAGGCCTATTTTCAATCAATCAATCAATCAATCAATCAATCACTTTATTTGTCCCCAGTGGGGCAATTAGTTTCGCAGCAGTGGGAGCAACACAAAGTACAAAAATACACATATACACAGATACACACAGCATAATAAACACATTGTGGACAAGCCTAATAAATACTCACTCATACTCATGTTAAAAACAAAAAGAAAAAGCTAACTTTTTAAGCTAACTATATACTTTTAACTCTTTTAACTATTTAACCATTAACTTTACTTTTAGCTAAGTCTTTGAACCATTTATATCCACTACTTTGAACTACTTAAAACACTGAATTTCCCCAATGGGATTAATAAAATATATAAATCATAAATACAAAAATTTTAAAAATTAAAACATTTATCCACCAAACATTTGGCTTTCCACTAACTATAAGAAAAATAATAATAAAAATAATTTATCCATTAAGTTTAGCTTTTTCACTGTCAATTACCTTTAGTATTAGCTAACTATTTTAACCATTTATCCATTAATTGTAGATAACTTTTTAGACTTCTTTTGTGAGAGCAGTTGTAACAGAGAGGCTAGTGTTCAGTTCACTCAACATGTTATTTCAAGTTCCTTAGTCATTTCTTCACTAAATTCTGAGTAACTTCTCAATCCTCCCACACATCTCCGAGGAGTAGCGCTACCTGGGATACAGTGGGCCTATCCCTGTCTGGGAAACGCTGCTCTGATGCCACAGCCACATACTGTAGCTGAACAGTCCTGTAAAATCCAACAGATCAAAACCTGCCTTGCAATGCATTGTGTTAATAATTAATGAAACAATAAATGATTTACAATAATTATAGAACTGGCGCATACTGCAGCTAACAGGTTGCATATTATTTTGAAGTGTCTAAAAGAAGGTTCAACAGTCAGCACAGGATATGCCTTGACATATGAGCTCCTTGGTTAAACCTGTTATGTTCTTACAGAGGCTTAGGACACTGCCACGGTGAGCGACGTAGTCACAGCGCCTGTCCGAAGAGACAAACAGGCATGTTTTCAATAGGAGACTCTGATCCTTGTCAAAACACTGGGGATAAAGCAAAGAGCTAAACTGTTCCCGTCCTAAAATAAACACTGTGCCACCACATAGCCTTTCCAAAATGGTTAACTGGTTGTAGAGATCATTCAGAAATGACATACGTAGCCTCTTCTTGGCGTATATTCAACCATGTGTGTGTCTGTGCTCTCAAAATGTCCCTGTGAGTAAATTAACTTCAGTCAGACAAAAAAAAAAAAGGCCACGCTTGATGTTCTTTGTTCAAACTGTGCTGCCAAAAATAGAAGCCGCATTGTTTGTGGGGTGGAATGGGCTATATTTGCTCCTGTCAGGGTGTTTCACGTCTCCGAATTTAGAACGGAAACGATTACTCCGCAAGAAAATAGTATTTGCTTTCTCCAATCAACACCAATGCCCCTGGGCTCCACTCGTGAGCCATCGAGCTGCATGTCTTCTTTGTTTCATTGAGAATTTTCTTCCAGCTTCTCCAGCAGCCGGAGCGAGAGGGAGGAGGGGTGGAGCCACTCAAATACAAAGACTAATTTGTTTGTTAGTAAAGAGAAACTCTAGGCCCCATTTCCTGATGAGGGCATTAATAAAATCAGGGGGCGTCTGGCCAGAGGATGGGAGGAGGGGGGCGAAGAGATACTGTGACGGGAGACGTCGCAGTATAATGTTTCTCTATCTGAAGCCATCCTGCCGGTGTAAAAACACCACAAACGGAAACTGCTAGATGCATTAAATATGTTTCAGGGTGTCAGATATTCCTGTGTATTTTATTATTAGCTCAAATTGATTTGCACTAAAAAATGCTAATTAGAATGAGAGGAGAATAGAAAGAGAGGAATGCAAAGTGAGAGAAAAACCTCCTCTTTGTGATTCCCTTGTTCTTCTCATTAGGCATGTTAAGTACCAGGAATTCCAATCATTTCCTTGCAAAGGGATTGAGTAGGATGTTGCCTCAAACTAAGCCTCCAGGCTTCTCTGATTGTTGCCAGTCAAGCCATTTGTTGTGAAGAAAACAATGCTTAAATAAAATTTGAATACCAAACCCTTTATTCATTGTTACATAAACAGGGGGAAAAAGTGCTGACATGTTATAATGACCTAGAGGTGATGTGGATATTTTAGCCCCAGTGTCCACAGAGAGGAATATGCCTGAATGCATGTGTCTGTCTCTCCCTCCTGTCTCTCTTTGCTCTTCACACTGCTGAGTAAACACACATATCTCCACGGCGTAATCGGATCCATCGGCTCATGTTTATGATTGATAAACCTTGCCCTGGCCCTCCGCGGAAATGTCATCACAGAAAAAACACACACACACGCACACCTGCGCGTGCACGATACACACACACACACACTCAAACGCGACCCTTGGTAAGTTAGTCAAATTAAACCAAGGCTAATGGTCGCTGTTTATCTTGACTTCACATAAACTGTGATTCAGTAAATAAACTTTGTCTTAGTTTTGGCTGACGCAAACACGACTTTGAAAACACATATTGCACTGATTATTAGAAGGCCACAGATTGAGCATTGTGGGAAAAGCACATTGT